GCTGCCCACAGCTGTTATTAACCAATGAGGGTAAGCTCATAAGATATTTTAAAGTAAGTCTACTTCTACCTTCCCATCACATAATACAAGGCAAAATGAAGAAGATACAGCTACCCTGAGGTTTTTTTCACTCAATCCCTTTCTCTCAGCAGATCAAAAAAAAAAAAAAATTACGAGTGATTCACTCCTCAAAACTTAATTCTGTCATTTAAAAGGAATTTAGGCCTTTTTTCCATCATAACATTTTGTTACAGACTTGGTCCTATTATGCAACATAATATGTGCTGAATATGTGCTGATTAACTGACTTGGAAATTGGAGAAAGGTCAAAGCCATCTGAAGGAGATAACATTTTTATATGCTCTGAACCTTATTGAAGTTCATCCATATAGACATAATGTTCAAAATTCGGTTTAAAATCACACACACAAATAAGACTCAGGAGTCTCTTGATTTTTAAATTTCACTACATTCTCCTTTTTGTTACAGGTTGTATAAAAAATTGTTTGATCTTACTTAAAAAACAAAAGGATAGTGTCCTCCAATAGGTTGATAGTTGAGAGTGTCCGCCATCATACACATGGAATAGTTCACGTTTATTCTTCTGATCCCACCAAATCTCAAATACAGGGAAATATACCTTATATTTCTGATGGGAAAACTGAGACAGGAAACTTGTTATTTAGTTTTGAATTGCCATATTGGGATGCCCTGAAAGTCCCACAATATCGTATAAATCTCCCCCACAGTGAAATGGTGCTCAGATGTCTACTAATACTAATGTTGTATTTAGAGGACTAGCTAATTTTTCTTTCCAAGAAATCTTGGCCACACCATTTCAAAATGATAAACTCTCCCTCTAATTTTGATTTGTTTTCTATTTAAACTCCAACCTCTGTCTTTTATCTCTCCCTTGCCCTAAGATCCATTACTTTGTTAGATAAATGATTGCCCAAGTGGGTCAATTAAATTCTGAATACAGCTGGTGTTGATTACAGTTTTGCTAATAAAAATATCTTTGTGAAATCTTCAAGGCGACCTATAAAAATTAGCTCCTTGATGAACCTGGAAATTCAGAACAAAAATCTATCAGTAAACATGTTGATCGATTTCATCCTATCAATCAAAATTTAGTTTGCCAGATAATAATTTGTTAAATGTCAGTACAGGAGAATATCGTTTGGAAAAGGGCGATTTGAAACAACGTGCTTATGCCCTGGAGAGGTGTGTAGAGCCATCTTCATGGAGTGTGGGTTTGGACTCTGTCTTTCCAGTAAGTGGGAACGTAGACCCCACACCTATGGTCAGAAGGCACCATGTTCCTGTTATCTCCCGGCAGCTACCTGTGTTTACCTGGGGCAGACAGCTTTGTGGACCTCCTGTTCAAGTCCTCCTGTTAAAATATGCCTGCCCTCCCATTGTACCTCCAAACCATCAATCCACATGCCAGAACTACAACCCCATCCCTGAGAGGTGCATCTGGTTAGGGTGATCCATTGTGGGATGTAAGGTTTCTGTTGTGGTTCATTATGTTTGGTATGAACACTTATTTTTAGTGTCGTTTCTGGCTCCCCAAATTTCTTTTCATTTCTTTTTTGACATCTGAATCCAGGACTGAATAAAAGACCATATGCTTTATTCTTTGTTAGTAATTATAGCAAGTGGAGGAAGATTCTTAGATTTGTTGACTTCAGGATTTTTTAACCTCAGCACTACTGCTATTTTGGATGGTACTGACATTTTGGGCTGAGTAGCTTTTTGTTGTAGTGGGCTGTCCTATGCATTATAGGATGTTTAGCAGCATCCCTGGCCTGTGCCCACTAGCTGTACCACCCTGCAGTTGTGACAACCAAAGTTGTTTCTAGAAAGTGCCAAATGTCCCCTGGGGGGACAAAGTCATTCCTAGTTGAGAACTGCTGGTTTATTGTCTTGTGTGGTGCAGGTCAGCCATATCAGCATCACTGGGAGCTTGTTAGAGATGCAAAAGTCTCAGGACCTGCCCCAGGCTCACTGAGTGGGAATCTGTGTTTTAACAAAACCCCTGGATGACTTTGTATAAACATGAATGTATGGGAAGTGGTGATTTAGTCCATTATCTTGATCAGAAGTCTGGACATACATAGCTCTTAGGCTTAAACAGCACAATTCCAAGGTTCAAAATGTAACTATAGGCCAGGTACGGTGGTTCAAGCCTGTAATCGCAGCACTTTGGGAGGCTGAGGTAGGTGGATCACCTGAGGTCAGGAGTCCGAGACCAGCCTGGCCAATGTGATGGAACCCCCATCTCTATTAAAATACAAAAAGTTAGATGGGCGTGGTGTCAAGTGCCTGTAATCCCAGCTACTTGGGAGGCTGAGGCAGGAGAATTACTTGATCCCAGGAGGCGGAGGTTGCAGTGAGCCAAGGTTGTGCCACTGCACTCCAGCCTGGGCAGTGACAGCAAAACTCTGTCTCAAAAACAAACAAACAAACAAACAAACAAACAAAACGCAATTGTAGCAGACTTCTCAGTCTGCAAGTCCATGTATATGCTGATAAAATATATTTGAAGTAAAGTTAATTGAAGAATTAAGGAAAATTAAAAGGAATTGACTAATCTAACTAACCCCCGCCCCCAAAATAATTAACATAGTGTTTTGATCCTTTTACATTACATAAATATAAATTAATAGTATTTTGGAAATATCTCTGTATCTCCCAAGCAAATCCATAAATAACACTAATAATAATACTGCAATCTATCAGGGTGTTTATTATGTACTGAGTGGTCTATTAGATTAATCTTCACAACTACTGTGTGAGGTATTAACCTAATTTGACAGACAAAAAGCTGACTCCGAGAAATCAAATACCTTTGCCCTAATCACACATTTCTACAAAGTGAGATACCAGCACCTAGTCCACGTTCATTCTATCCAACTATTCTGCCTTAACTTCTAAAGAGAGAAAAAAAAACGATAAAGAACATTTTCTCCAAACTAATTATGTCTAAACAACATCCACACAGATCCTCAACCCCAGGAATGAGCAAGGGAAAGGAATCATTATTTTTCTTGAAAGCCGTCTTTTGTTCTATCTTCTTAGGCAGTGGTCTCATTATACCTTGAGAATGTCTGAGTGTAGCCAACGCTTGAGGTGAAGAATCCTGCTCACCCATTTCTATCCCTTTGCCCCCACGGAATTAGCGTTCAGCAACAACAAAGCCATGCTGTACATTGTTAAGAAGCGTTCTTGGCAAGGATGGTTTTGTCTTTCTTGTTTCTGAGATTTGCCCACTGATTGCTAAAAGTATGTACTATGAACTTTGATTAGCTAGCCCAAGGGTCTGATGGGTAGACACAAACTGTGCAAGAAAGCCAAATGTGACATTTACATGATTTAATCCGAAGCGAATACATCTATGATTCTTTATTTCTTTCATCAGAGAAACCCTCTGCTTTTGCTTCTGATCCTTTCTTTGCCTGAACCTCTTCTACTGTATCATCAACCTATTTTTTTATTCAATGTATATTCTACCAGACAGTATTCCTAGCTTCCTTTTATCACCATGGTGACACTGTGTGCTTATGCCTTTATTAAAAATTTATCTTAAATAGATCTAGGAAGTCGTCTTTTAGGCAACGACAATTTTTTCAGTTTTGAATCCACCATAATGTCCAGATACTGGGAATTCGTGTGCAAATATCATTCCACTATTACTATAAAGGGAAATAAAGCAAAATGTTTAAATGGCTGCTATTCTTGATAGCTGCTTATGCATGGAAAAAGACATTTTATATGCATTCCGTTCTTGCTTTTCAAGAGCACTTGGCACATAGTCTTTTGAAAGTACTTTACTTAAGCTTTGATTAGCTTATGTGATCATCTATTACTGGTAAATTTTAATAGTATTGCGTTTCTAGGAACATATTCTATGAAAAAAAATCAGAAATACTAACAAAGATTGACATGCATATAATTGTCCTCACATTATCTATAATAAATACTTAAAAATCATAAAAATGTTCAACAACAGGGGGAGGATTAAATAATGGTATGGCATTACGGTTGAATAGCATGCCTCTCTTAAGAATGATAGTGTAAAGAATTTTAGTGACAGGAAAATAATTATAATATGTTAATTTAAAAAGATACAAAATTTATATATAATGTGACTTTTATCTTCATAGCTATGTATATAGCTTGTTAATTAATTAAATATCTTTACTTATATGTACATCTATTTATAAAATTCCAAAAATGCCAGATGTTAATAGTGGCTATATCTGGTTGGAGAGTTTATGGGTGATTTCATTCTTTTAAAAGCTTTCCTCTGTTTTCTACAGTTTTTTAGTGAGCATAAAATGCTTTTGAAATCAGGAAGAAAAAAATAAGTATTTAAATATAAAACTGAACTAATTGAATTCTTCCAGGATTGTAGTAATATGATTAAGAGGTCCCTGAGATTTTTCCATATTTTTCTTGTATTTATAAACTCTATTGTTATAGAAACTACTCTCAGCCTGGTACTTTTGTTTTCAAAGAGAGTTCAAAACAATTACTCTAGATGAAGGACAGAGACTATTGTCTTCAACCTGGATAATGAAAAATGAGTGACATGGAGAGAGGCACAAAATCAGAGGACATTGTCCTGAGTGTGTTTAAATTGAACAGCTGATTTTTAAAAGGGTCAAATCTGGAGTCTGTAGATGGGTCTGGCAACAGGAAAGATTGCAGGGATTTTTTTCATTATAGTTAAACAAAAACGTACCTAAAAATGCAAAATGTAAGAAGATGCTTTTATATAAGAAAATGATTAATGAGTACGGTATTTACGGAAAGAAATACTCAAAGGTTGGTATTAGGAAAAGAAAAAAGCCACAGGATTTTGATCACAAGAAACCTTGGATTCTAGATCTGACCCTGCCAGTACTGAGACTTGGACAAGGCATTTATTCTCTCTTGGCCTTGGGTTCTTCACATATAGCATAAAGGGTTTGGATTAAATGCTATTTAAAATCCCTTTCAGTTTATAAAGTCTGATCTATTCTACCATTTTACATGTTTTCATAGCAAAGATCAAATTCTGGGAGTTTACATTTCTGAAACTTGGGTCAAGGTCCTGACCAATCCTCAAAAGAGCAACTGTGTGGACATCTGTGGCAATGGTAAGAGTTCTTTAGTGGCCAGTCAGCTCTGTTGTTCTCTCCAGCTAAAGGAAGGCAAGTAATATGAAGAGTAGGTCCAAGCACACAAAATCTCTTCTTGACTTCCACCAAACAGTCTTTTTCATTTGGAACACTGCTTCCATATGCAAAAGTATTTCATCTTTTATAAAGTGCTAATTTTTATAAAGTATAAATTTGCGATGAGAACCAGCAAGTGATGATAATAGCTGTTCTCTTTTGTGAATACAAGTATCTGTTAAATATATCTAATATGCACTTGTATATATGAGTGCATTTATTGAAAGACACTTAAGCTAAGCATGGATAAATGTACTAGTTTTTTAAACAGCTTTATTGAAGTATAATTGACATGGAACAAGTTACACATATTTTAAGTATGCAATTTGCTAAGTTCTTATATATATATGTACACATAAACTCTCACAGAACCAACTTAATAACCATAACATCACCCCTAAAATTGTCCTTGTTTTCCTTTGCAGTTCTGCAAACTTGTATGTGGTACAAAGCATGGATCAAAATCTTTTTTTTTTTTTTTTTTTTTTTTGCACTGTGGATATCCAATTATTCCAGCACCATTTGTTGAAAAACTATTCTTTCTTCCCTTTGAAACACTGTCAAAAATCAATTACACACATATGTATGGATTATTTCTGAAATCACTATTTTGTTTTGTTGATACAGTTATCTCTCTTCATGTCAATACCACATTGCCTTAATTGCTGTAGATTTACAACAAGTCTTAGAATTAGATAGTCCTACAAAATTGTTCCTTTCCCCTCCACCTAGAGTGGCTATTTTAGCTCTTCTGAATTTTCATATGAATTTTAGAATAAAATTGTCGATTTTGTGAGAAAGCCTGCTGAGATTTTCTTTTAGATCACATTGAATCTCTATTAATCAGGGGATAACTGACATATTGATATTGAGTTTGCTGATTGATGAACAGCAAATGATTCTGTAATAAATGATTCTCCTCCTTTATTTAGGTCATTGTAGGTTGATCTCATTTTGTATTTTTCAGTGCACCGGTCTTGCATATCTTTTGTCAGATTTATCCTGAAATCGTTTGTATTTTTGATGCTTATATACATGGTATTGCTTCTTTTAATTTCAATTTCTGATTATTGATTGATACTCTATAAAAATACAATTGATGTTTTTAGTATTGATCTTGGATCTCATGGTCTTGTTAAACTCAACATTTAATTCTAGTAGATTTTTGGGTACATTTCATAGGAGTTTTTACACAGATGGTCATGTCATTTGTGAATAATGATAGTTTAACTTCTTTTTAAATGTGGATGCCTTTTACATATTTTTTCTTGTCTTATTATGCTAGCTTGAACCCCCACTACTGATGAATAGATGTAGCAAAAGCAGATGTCTTTTGTGCCCGTGACATGGACACCATGTGCTTCAGATGTTGCTCTGCCCTGTTTGTCAGCCTGCTCCCAACATCCCAACCTCCTATGCACAATCTCATACCAACCTTTGCCCATCTGCACCCCACAAGGTTGTTTCTCGCAGTCTTCTTGGCCCAGACACTGTATACCCCTGGTTGCACATGACCCTCCCAATGAGTGAGCTTTAGGCACCTTGACTCATTCTTTGCTCTTATTCACTAGCTTTGTCACCTTTAACTTGGGAAGGATATTTTGTTCTTCTGTTTGTCTGTTTTTCCTGTTTGCCCAACACATGTGGACTGGCTCTGGTTCAGACAATCCAGTGAACTTCTCTGCCATGCAGTGGGCTGCGAGCGCAGCTTTCTAATGAAGTCGTAATTCAGCCTTGAGGAGGGCACCCCTTTCCAAGTTTGCTCCTTTTTGAATGCTTTTCCTAAAACTTAAATTTTTCATTAGAGTTTTTTATCATGACCCCAAATTATGGTTAATTATCCTCTGCATCAAACCTTCTCTTTTTAAATTACTGTGTATTTTCTGCCTCTTAAGTAGACTTCAACTGACACATTACTTTTGAAAAAAATTATTGAAGTGTAATTAACAGACAAAAAACTGTACATATTTAAAGTATACAATTTGATGTTTTGACATATGTATACACCCATAAAATACAATCAAGATAATCAACATATTCATCATCCCTCAAATATTTCCTCATGTTAAATGGTATTTAGGGGATCATGTAAAGAGAAATTGAGCTAGGGATGTGTTTAGTTTGGGTTCATTAGGATAGGTTTTTATGGTTCACAGTCACTTTCATGGATGGTTAAGACTGCCAGTCATCTTGGTTTAGGAGTGGCTTCTGCAATTAATTTTGTTGCCTACTGCTCTTGCAAGCATCTTGATAGGAAGTGCCTGGGCCATGTGAATATATCCTATAGTACTGAGCATGGACCTATGTGGGTAACGAAGGAAAAAGGAGGTTCAGAATATATAAGAAAATAGAGCGGGACCTTGTTTGTGGAAAATTGTTCTAAATCCTGCACTCACATGAACAAAGATTTGAATGAGGTTTTTGTAAGTTATCAACAAAACTTTTAATAAAGTTACTAATAATACATTATTTAATAAGAAGCTAAAATTATTGTTAAATGATCAATCATATAAAGAAAATAAATATTTATTAACCATGCTCAAGGACAGTCTAAATTTCCTATTTATTCTCTCTCTTTTTTTGGAGACAGGGCTATCACCCAGCCTGGGGTGCAGTGGCATGATCATGGCTCACTGCAGCTTTGACTTCCTGGGTTCAAGTGATCCTCCCACCTCAGCCTCCCAAGTAGCTGGGACTACAGGCATGTGCCACCTCACCTGGCTATTTTTTTTTTTTTTAAATTTTGTGTAGAGATGGGGTTTTACCATGTTGCCCAGGCTGGTCTCGAACTCCTGGGCTCAAGTGATTCTCTCACCTCAGCTTCACAATGTGCTGGGATTTCAGGCATGAGTCACCACGCCCAGCCATCTCTTTATATAAAAGATTGCAAAATTATTGTTTGTAGAGAAATGATCAAAGGGGCTAAAGCCAAAAATGTGAGAAAAAGGTATTGTAGAGGTGGGTCTGACAGGTTATTAATAAAATTTTTTTGCTTTCCTTGAATTTACAATGTTTGTGGTAATGATGGATGATGATGTTCCTATAAGCTAAATTCATTAACTCCCTTTGTGGATATCTGCTATGTTACCAAAGATTTCTTCTTTATATCTTCTCAAAATTGTAGCTATTGCTATTTAAACCTAATTCATCTCACTGCATAATGAGAACCTCTCATTAGCATTTACTATTTATTTTATACGGTCAATGTCTATGATGACTATATTTTACAAGTTAAAACATAACTTTTTCCTAGTTTATACATTTATGGTTTTATAGAATATGATATTTAAACACTTATGACAGTGTCCAATTAATTTGTATTTACTTACATACTTCAAGAATTACCTTTATTATAAAAAGTACATAAAAATTGAGTGCATATTTTGAGTATGTATTTCATGTATATATAAATATATTTGTGAAAATTATACTGGAAAATTGAGGACAATGTTATTTAGAGTGTTATTTGTTCCATAATTGTTTTTAGGTGTGTATTTTATTTTCATTTAAAATTTAGCATTAAAATTGGTGGCTTTAGACATATTTTACGTTAAAGACAAAGGTTAGAAATTCTTTTATGTATTGTGCCTTAAGAATTATTCAATACAGCATAAGTCAGATCATAAATATGCTTGTATTCTATTCTATTTACTTATAAGGCAAATGTATTATTTTCTGACATTTATATTTTGCTTTTATGTTTCATGAGCATCTTTTTAGTTTAAATAGATTTCTTTTCTTCTTTTCTCTCTTCATTTGTCATTTTTTTTTTTCACAGTCAGATTCACTGAATCCCAAGACAAGGAGCTCTTTGATAATGGGCTAGAGGAAAGTGTGAAAGAATGGTTTAGAACTAATTCAAGAAAGAACAATCTGATTCCCACTTGGAGGAGGACGCAGGAGCTGAATCAGATGGGGCTGTGGTGCCTGGGGAGGAGGAAATTGTGAGTACTTGCTCTTGATTGAGTATCATTATCCTCCTGTTGTCTAGGAAGATGATTGTTATAATTAGCCACAAATGTCATGGGCAACTATAATTTACCTTTTCCTGTAACAACTGATAGTTTACCTTTTCAATGCCTCCTTTTATCTTCCCACCATGGGGCTTTCCCCATCCCTCCATAACAATCAAATATAAAATAAAATATATTTATTTTATAGTATGTGCCTGTCAATGTATACTTATAGTAATAATGTGACTATTCATTTTTAAAAAGTCATAAAGTGGCTACTTGCCCAAATTTCAGGCTCCTTTAAAATTAAAGTTCCTATAAGAAAAAATTAGAAATCATGAGGTTATATAATAGGAATGCTGGTGGAGTCTTTAGAGATATTTTAGGACCATTTCTTATTAATCTTATTTCTAAATATAGTATAAAGAGATGTTATTAATTGGGTTGCATAATGCCTTTGAAATGCAATATTAATATCCTTTGGATTTTATTTGTAGTATAATTTCTTAATTCCATTTTATGTTATAATAATTCAGTGGAAGTATATATTTGTATTCTATTATAGAATAGTTATAGTTTCTATGCTATTTTAATTTTTTAAATAGAAATACAATAGTTTGTATTCTATTTTTAGTAAGTTACTTTAGTAAGAACTAACTCTTGAGTTGAATTTTAAAAATAGAATAAAAATCACAATATTTTATAAAGCATTATATAATTGTGAAGAATTTTTTACTAGCATGTACCTTTGCTAGATACTAACCAAATAATAACCAAATGCACTGAATTGCCTTTGAATGAAAGTCGCTCAAGTGCTCTTTTTAAAAAATGTCTCACTGTTTTGGACTTCATACTATATTTATTTATTTATTTAGAGATGGAGTCTCACTCTGTCGCCCAGGCTGGAGTGCAGTGGTGTGATCTCAGCTCACTGCAACCTCTGCCTCCTGGGTTCAAGTGATTCTCCTGCCTCAGCTTCCCGAGTAGCTGGGACTACAGGTGCACACCACCGCGTCCGGCTAATTTTTATATTTTTAGTAGAGACAGGGTTTTGCCATGTTGGCGAGGCTGGACTTGAACTCCTGAGCTCAGGTGATTTGCCTGCCTCAGCCTCCCAAAGTGTTGGGATTACAGGCATGAGCTATAGCGCCTGGCTTCATACTATACTTAGATTAATAAGTTTCATTGCATATTTTTAAGTAACCCTAGAAAGTTATATTTAGAATAGTAATTCAATGAAAACAAATCAGTGACATAAATAGCTAGTAAATCCAGGCCAAAGATAAATGTTCCCAAAACTGAGGAGAGATGGGACTAACATCTTACAATGATATGCTTTTGTTTGTATATAGCTACTGTCTTAACATTTTTGTTTCTTTTACTACTACAATTTTAAAATGAATGGTCAACATCTGATGTCTGCCTGTCTGCCTGTCTGCCTTACATCCTTATGACCTGAATTTGTTCTGCGTGTCCTCACTGAGACGTTGTGCTAGGATGTCATTAATAAATTATTTCTACAATATACAATGACCATTTGCTCAGTGTTCATTCTCCATGACATCTCTGCAAATTTAAAACTGCTGACCACACCCTCCTACTCGAAAGAAGTGGCTTTTGTGGTATCCATTTTGAGTTGTCTTATCTCTGGATTACTTCTACTCTTGCTACTATGGTTTTTTCCGTGTTTCTAAATGTGCGTGTTCCTTAATGCCCAGTTTTAGAACATGCACTCTTTTCCTTCTTCTTTAGGAAATATCTATTTTCTAGGCTTCAGTTGTCATTTCTGTGTGGATAAAATTATGATAAATAACATTTTTCCATCTCCAGAGTTGTCTTGTTGAATCTCCTAGAGTCAAGGAATAAAAGAAAAATAACGAGATTAAGGATTTTTTTTTGAGATCATAAAATTATATAGTCACAGAGTTAAAAATATGGAAATAACTGGAATTATGGAGATTCTATCAGGAAGGTTCCTGTTTGTTTCATTTTTCAAAAATTTTGCTCTTGTTTGAAAAAGGATGCATTTTTTTCTTTTCAATTTTTATGTTTTATTCCTTGTCTCTTTAATTTTAGAGGTGGTTCTTGTGTTGTTGCGTATTTTTAAATTAAAGGCCAATAAAATATAGACTATATTTATCTATTTTCATGCAATTAGAATAATTTTATTACAGTAAGTTCCTTTAAGCAAAGGTACATAGTTTTTTTAGGTTATGGAAAAATTAAATTACTGTATATACTCAAAGTTCTGTTAGTGGCACTGGAGCAAGACCGTTATTTTAAAACCACTTGCTGATTTTGCTGGCAGTGATTTTAATGAAATATAATAATATGTTTTATTTATAAAGTGCTTTTCACCTGTACATTCAGAGTGTCTGGATTTCTTTTCTTTTTCTTTTTTTTTTTTTTTTTTGAGTGTCTGGATTTCAAGTGATACCCAGAGTATGTCAGTTGATAACTTCAGTTTCCGAGATCTGACGAACACATTTGCATAACGTTCATGCTTGTTGATTACTCGGGTCAAAAAGACCAAATTCACTGCATGTGTTGAAAATATCATAGGATTACTCAACAAACTCTTGAAATTTTTTCCTACCATATTATTTTTGTTTAAGGACAGGATTTGGGACAAACAAATGAACAAAAGCCGAAGACTTCTCTGTGAAAGACCTAAACTAGGGTCTTGTGTACTGAATAAAATATCACTATAAAAGAATGACACAAATTTCCTTATATGATTGTGGAATTAGTCATGTTATCTTAAAATCATAGCATCATACCACAACTATTATTGTCACCACAAAAGAGCAAAGAATACTTCAGTTTACTGTCTAAAGATTGGTTTTACTCATGAAAAAACGTTTCCCTGCCTCCTCTTAGTTATTGGAAGACATTACATAAAAAAGCCCCACAGTTGCTTCTGAGTAGTTAAAGCATGTTCTTAAGTGGTTAATTTTCTCCCCCATTTTCACGTTGTTCATATTCTTTCCCTTTTTCTTCTCTACCAGTTTCCATCTTTTCTAAGACAGTTAGGTAATGACTAGCAATACATTTGTCCATACCCTGGATAATTCAATACATTAAAACAACATGGAATTCAGTAAGAAATATTGCTAATTCCACGTGTCCTCTGCTCAGTGTCTTTGACTGTGGACTGCTGGCTGCTCATTTTGCTTTTTTAATTTGAAGGCTGGCTCTAAAAAACGTTTTCTTCTTTGTACCTCATTTTCTGAATTGAAAATATTTACATATCCACATATGGCATTCAACATATGTGGAAACTATATTTGATAGTAAAGAAAATTTTATACCAAATATTTGGTAGAAGTAAGCAAATATAATCTTAACATAATAGTAAGAGTGTACTTAGCATAATAGGAAGAGCACATGGACCATTACATGATCAAATATTTGCTATAAAAACATGTTGGAATAGAAAATTAATGTTACTATAAACACTTTTAAAGCACTGCTACATTGGAAATATAGAAATGGAAATTAAAGTAACTTACTTGAATAATTTTATTCAAACTATTACTATTAAACTTAGTTGAATAGTCCTGTTCAAACTATTTCTATTCCTAGTCAAACTATGAGTAAACTGCAGCACTGTAAGTTACCAAACATTGTAAGACTTACAAAAATATCACCATACTCATATCCTTATTAAATTCATTCTGTGATCCAGCAGCTGCCACAACATATAGTAAATATTATGACAAATCTATTGAGAAGCATTTTGGGGTGTAGCATTGAAGAAAATAATTTCTGCATGATGTAGGGCAAAAAATTAAGATATTAAGAGTAAATACTTTCACGAAAGATCTAAATTTTCTAAAGAATGATGTAAGACATTCCATATTATGCTTATTTAGTTTATATTTGTACTAAAAATTTTGAATTTAGTTTTATTTCACTATAAGATGTCCCTCTGATATCCTAGGTAAAATAAAAATAACAAGCGAAAAAAAAAAAAAAACTCCAACATCCTGAGAGAAGTCAATTTAATTTTATTTTTAAAGCTTTAATATTTGGGATTTATGCTCTCATCCTCAATTCTGTTCAAAAGGAATAAAAGCTTAAAGCAGCAACGTATTTATTTTCTCCTCCTCCAAATCTTAGACTATGTTATTATTAACAGTTACTTGATTAAAAATGCATACCAGTTTTCCTTTTATTTTTCTTTTTCTTTAAAGTAAAGCATGTTACTCAACCCCATATTGTCCATGAAAGGAAAACAAATCTTGGGCATATCTACTCCACTATTATAGATGTAAAGCAGACCCAAAGCACACCAAGGAATTATAATGTCACTCAAAGGAAATTAAATTAAAAGTAATTTAACCTAAGAAATAAAAGAAAAACAACAATAAGGATATTAAATACATACCACAAAAACCTATACACTTGCTACAAATAAATCAAAAGCTAGACGAAGCCTTCTAACAATCAACTGAAAAATTGTAAAGTGGACCATTTTATAGTTTACAGAATTTATATGTTTAAAAATAGACTGTTCAAGAGGTAATCATTCCGTGTACTAGTCCCAGAAAGAAATTCTTACAAGGTTCTTCATTAAGAGAACACTGTAAAGAACAATGTCCACAATCATATTTCTATAGCTGAATAGTTTGAAGGGTATGTTTTTAAAAAGTTTATATTAAATATTTAAGATTTTAGACTTATAATTATGTTTACATCAATATACTATATGTAAATTAATACATGAATATAATAAATCTATGTATATGAATATATAAATATATCAAAACATATATCATAGTTTTTTAGAGCATTATAACAAAGTAGAGAATAGAAAGGCAGACATATTTTCTATGGAAGTACATGGTACAGGTACCATGAATCAACAATGACTTGACTGGGTCCAGTGACCCACGCCTGTAATCTCAGCACTTTGGGAGGCCGAGGTGGGTGGATCACCTGAGGTCAGGGTTTTGAGACCAGCCTGGCCAAAATGGTGAAACCCTGTCTCTACAAAAAATACAAAAATTAGCCAGGTGTGGTGGCAGGCACCTGTAATCCCAGCTACTGGGGAGGCTGAGGCAGGAGAATCACTTGAACCCAGGAGGCAGAGGTTGCAGTGAGCCAAGATCATGCCACTGCACTCCAGCCTGGGTGACACAGCGAGACTGCATCTCAAAAAAAAAAAAAAACCCAAAAAACAGTGAGTTTAAGTAGACACCTGGCCATGCCGTTTGTTGCTAAGGAGAGGGGCTCAGGGGCACTGCTCTAAAATAAAGTTATTTATTATTATTATTTTTTGAGATGGAGTCTCACTCTGTTGCCCAGGCTGGAGTGCAATGGCACAATCTCGGCTCACTGCAAGTTCTGCCTCCCGGGTTCACGCCATTCTCCTTCCTCAGCCTCCCGAGTGGCTGGGACTACAGGTGCCCACCACCACACCCGGCAATTTTTTTGTTTTGTTTTTCTTTGTATTTTCAGTAGAGACGAGGTTTCACTGCGTTAGCCAGGATGGTCTCAATCTCCTTTGTGATTCGCCCGCCTCGGCCTCCCAAAGTGCTGGAAAGTTATCATTTTTGGCAAACTATCCATAACATACAACTGGTTGGTCATTTATAATCTTATGCAGTAGGTTAGCTCATTTAGTTCTCTAGGTATATATTTTGTAGTCAATTCTTCTCTGCAGAAGAATGGCCTGCTTTTCAAAATGAACCACCCCAAACGTGCTTTCCTGAGACTTAAAAAAAATGGCCAAAGGACATGATTACTTTGTCTGCATATATAATTTTTAAGGATAATTTTTTTAAGCCATAGTACCTTCTGCTGGAGAACTTTAGGGTTGGTCCTTTTATCAGTATATCCAAAATTACATTCTGAGGAACTTCTTGCCTCTTCCCTAAAGGACTGAGAGACTTGGTATTCATTATATATTCTGTTAGGCAGACACTTTGCCTTTCCTAAGGGGATGTTAGTCTATCTCTGCTTAGATGGCTGCAAGGCATGGAGATAGTTCCAACTTAAGGCAGAACATAGAATAGCTCCATTCCAGGTAGCTGTTAAAGAGTACTTAGGTCCTTGCTGCTGCAATTTTATGAAAATGTCAGTTGAACAAAACTGTATTTATAAACATACACACACACACACACACACACATGATCACTGGATGGACATGTAGTCTAACAAGAAGATGCATTAATTGACTGAAAATTGCTGTTGGCCCTCAGACAACTGCCTTTATTGAATTGCTTCTTTGGTGCAGTGCCTCAGCCTACAGTGAGTGACTTTATAAGAAACAGTCTAGGAAACACATTGCTGCATTGAGTGTAAGAGTGTTGTTAAATTTGTCACATCACTTATTATCATTTTTATGAGGACCCATGGGAGAAAACTGTCTTAGATTTCAGAGATAGTAATGCCTGTCCTGGGCCACATTTTACCCTCTCATCCATGCTACAAATAATGTAACTGATTGGGCCATTCTGAATCCTGGACTTCCTGGCTCTGTCCCCCAAGGCCCTCCTTGCCCTGGATCCCAGAAAATGTAGCATCAATATATGTGCTTCGTCTAGCAGGTTTCCAGATCCCTAGGCATCCTGTGTATTCACTTCAATCTTGACTTCAACAAATTTCTTCCATTGTCATTTTTTCTTGATTCCATTTATCATATTTTTAGCTTTTATTCTATCTTTTCTTAGTATATTGCATGGATTTTTAAAAGCTATTTTCAATAATTTATGAATGTGAGCATGAGAATCTTGAGAGCAGTCACGGCTTTGACCTTTCAATGTTACATGTCCTCTGAGTCTAGGGGCCCCTGTGTTCTGTAAGCTGCCCCCATATACAGTTAGCCCTCACTCAAAATTTGCTCACTGTTCTCGCTACAGGCATTTTCTGTGCAGACAAAATAGTATTTTACCACCTTCCCTAGGGAGGACATGAAACATGGTTGCTACTGCTTCTGTTTCTGCACATCACTTGTGCTATGCACTTGAAGCATATAAATTTTAATATAAAATTTAAGCCTTCTTGGAGGTATTAGATTCTGTGAGCTTAATGTTTTTAATGACTCATATTGTTACTAGTTTCTTTGGTGATTTAGTGAAAGATCTGAACTCTTCTCTGAAATGAACACACTCATTTAATAAAAAAATGAAACGTTTACATAATTATTTTGATAAGAGTTGACAGTAAAGCAGAAATTCTGGAAATGCTGGTACTAAATATCATCAGTAAACTCATTTCTCCTTTGTCTGAAAGTATTTCTTACTTAAATGGCACATCTGAAATTCAATGTATGCTGTGAGTTCCTTTAGCACTCACACTTTTAGAATAACTAAGATGAATATAGGAAAATCATTTCTATTAGGTTATCATTCACTCACTCATCCATTTATCCTGCAGGAAAATGCCCTGTATGATTCGAGGTACTGGGAATACTGAGGTAAGTATTACAAAATCCATGCCCCTGCGGAACTTATGCTCTAGTCAAGGGAGGAAGAGAACTAATGAATGAACTAATAAACAACTAAATGAGATAGTTTCAGATAGTTGTGGATGCACTGGATAAAAAGAAAGGTGGCCATGTATAGTAACGACTTTGGTTAGAGGGGTCAAGGTAGGTGTCTGATCTTTGATATGAAACTGGAATAATGACAGGGACCCAGACATGGAAAGATCTAGAGAAGAAACCCTTAAGGCAGAGGGAACAAGTCACGCAAAGGTTCTTGGACGGGAATAAATTTGTGTTCTCAGGGTCCAGAGGGAAGGTCAGCACAACCTGAGCCAGGAATGTCACAAGAGGTGAGCCAGGAGGCTGGAAGGCAGGCCACTTGAGGTCTTTGGCTGTACATATCTTTTCTTTAGGCCCCTTGAGCATGTCATCTAACCTGTCTAGGCCTCAGTTTCCCCTTCTTTAAAGTAAAGGGGATAGAACTATCTCCTAGACTTGCTTGTGAAGATTTAGTGTGTTAATCGATGTTAGGTGCTTGGAAGAATGTCTGCCACTTAGTAAGAACTATATGTGTTATCTATTATTATTATGTATTTATGTACTTTCCCCCTAGCTAACAATTTATTGCTCTGATAGATTTTTAAAGCTAGAATAGGTCTTGGAAATCATATTAAATCTTGACATTTTACAGACGACACTTTAGCTCAGCAAGGTCAAATGGTTGATACAAGTTCCCAAAACTGGTAAGTAAATGTTTAGACTAGAATCTTGGTTTCTTGACTCTCAGGCCAAGAGCTTTCTACTATTAAATAGTGTTGGCCTTTAGCTATCAACCTTATGGCTTAGAATTGTTTTCCTTAGTATTTGCCTTATATAATTATATTGACGATAGTATTATTGAAGCTGTATTTTTTGGTAGAGACTGAGATAGTTACCACACTAGTAGTGAATTTACAAGCTAATGACTTACTGATAACTGAAAGATATTTGGAAATAATTAGGATCTTGCCATGAAGTTTATAACAGCTTTTGCCCCTAGTAAAATAGTAATACAGGCTATTATTTAAGATTATTCTATTTTATCTAATGAATTAACCACAGATTCAAATATCCCATTAGTAGCTTTAACTTTTGTACCTTTTGAATAAGATGAATATAGAAAAATTATTTTATTACATTTTTTCATTCATCTCTTTCCTCAACAACTACTCTGTACCCTGTACTAATCTAGAGACTAAAGATACCATTGTAAACAGTATAGAAGAGTGTCCTCTCATGGACCTTATACTCTAGTCAGGGGAAGCAGACAATAAACACATGAGTGAATTAATAAATAATGAAAAGGGTAATTTTAGGGTAGTCCCCAAACACTTTAAAATTGGGAAATCAGGTAATCAGTGATTTGTCAGTCTAATAAATAATAATGATATAACTAAAATCAGAAGTGTTAATCACACTTTAAGTGATTAGCCCATTTAAACAACTTATTTTTCCAAGCCTCAGTTCTCTAGCCTTACTACCCACCAATAAATGAGTTAATAGGTTACATAAATTAAAATGTAATTATGCACATAGTGTTATTAAACAGTGGGGTTAAATTAATATGTAGCAAAAAGAATGCTAAAATTACTTTACCTAAGAGGTATGATGTGGTGTCTCAGGTTAGTTTTAAATTTTAACTTGTCTCTTTCTACAACCTTATAGATTTTCCCAGACGTAGGAAAATTGGTTCCTGGGATAATCTTTATTTGTTTATTTTTCATTTGCTTCTCTATAGAAAGTCTCTTACCTACAAAAGGTTTTGTTCCCAAAGTTAATTTGGACACCATTCTGAACTCGTTTACCGTAGAAGCGGTGCTTAGCGTAGTCGTTAGGTTCAAATGTTGGTTTACAGAAGTTTATTTCACTGTTCTTGAAGCTGAAAAGTTGCACTTAATGGTGCTCCCTTGAGTTCTGGCCCAATTTGGCAAGGAGTAAACAAAAGAGGTACATTTTTCTCTTTCCCTGAGCACAGACCTGGATCCAGTCCATCCTGGGAAGCAGATGAGATTTCCTCATGGCCCCCTCTGGTCTTCCCTCTCACACCCCTAACTGCTCGTGGCACTGTTCTCTTTAGGCGTCAGGACAGATTTTTTTTTTTCTTTTTCTAGTAAGAGCTATGTGTCCTCTATTTACTTTTTTCCATCTTATTGGAAGAATACCAAAGTTGATAATTGAGTAAACAATATGGATATTTGATTTTTCTAAATGCCAAATAGATGTATCACAGTGTCAAAATGATTTCCTTCATCTTTTGTTCAAGTATCTGTTTTTAGGGGCCAAGAACTTCCTCAGAGTTACCTTCTTTTGCTTCTGAACAATACCCTCTCCTCGGTTAGAGCTGTCACTGACTGGCCCCGATGTTCATAGAATATTCTTGCTTCTAACTTTGAGGTGGTACGCGGAGTTAAAATCTATGTGATTTAACCCAAGGCAAGCTTAGTCCTGTTAAAAGAGAGAGAAAAAAAAAAGGCTGAAAAAGTATAGCAGTGTTAATTGATTAGTTTGGGTTCACCCTGCTGTTGGCATTTACTTTATTCTCTATATTGTCCTTGTATACTTTGTTGTCACTTTAGAGAAATCTGCTATATGAAATCCCAGCATAAGCAAAAAGCAAACAGAAGCAGTGAGTTTGTCCCACACCACTGTCAAGACAGTGCATAGGTCTGCAGCCTGCCAAAAATAGATGTGGTTTATAGTACGTTCAACTCCATTGCTCATATTTTTTCATTTCCTCTTCCCAGCTGAGTAAATGGAGGGGGGAAGAGAAAAAAATTACTGCCATAAAAAGTACATTTTCCCCTCTATGTTCGATTATGGAGGGACATCTATAAACGTGGGCATAAAGCCCAGAGGAAAGGAGATATTTCCGAAATGTTGTCTGATAGTCACTTTAGTTTCCAAATAAATATAGTTTGAAAATACATTGAGGATGTCTAAGCAGAAATATTGACATATGGCATGTAATATTTGGCTGAGTTTGTGGATGAGAAATGAGCCTGCGTCAAGGAGCTTTGCTGGTAATTGTATAACCCAGGAAGGGACTGACAATCCGTCATGAAACACAGAAATTTAGGAAGCTGTGGAACCTTAATGATCATGTAGAAGAATTTATCTGGTAATTAAAACACTGAAATACAACTACTGTAAAATATGAACAAAATTAATGTGATCATTTAGAAATAGCTGAACTATTCAGTTTCAGCTTTTGCAATTTCCAAAAGGTGTTATTTGCTGGGCTCCAGGGTGCCATGGCAAAAACGGGACCTTTCTTTGGTCAGTACCTACAATTGAAATCTCATCTCCAAGCTGGCTGCTTAGGGTGTGGCATTTGTTTGTTCATTGTGATTTTACCATCAAAGCATATGTCACATATGCTTAAGTATGTTTAATATTATAAGGCACATATACTTAATGTGGAGAGCAGCATTTGCAGCAGTACATGCTCAAAGTAGTATTTACTTGAAAAACCAGTTTCGAGGAGATAGCATGGTTTATTAGATGCACATTAGATTGGAATTTAGAAACTTAATTTTCGTTTCTACTTTTGCCATCTGGCTTTATGAGTTTAGATAAGTGACATTCATTTTCAGATTTCTTTGTGTCGATCTCTAAAATGGAAAGGCTATCTAGTTGATTTCTAGGATTATTTTATAAATATCCAATAAATTCCATTGAACAATTTTCTCTAAGGAACTCATTTTTTTAATGCCAAGGGAATTGGCTAAAATTTATACAAAATAATATAAAAAGTAAAGAAAAATATTGGAATCATTTTTTTGTACTTATGTTTAGCTGATCCTGTGATACCTGTGGATGTTTTTGTGTTTATGATTTTGTGGTCAGGAAGAAAGATGCCACCCTTCTACTGAAGGCACATTAGTGACGGTTCTCTGAGGGGCCATCATCATTTAGTAGCTCTGTAGCCATCTACACCATCAAAAACAAGATGGCACATTCCAATGAAGAAAATAAAGAGAGCCTAATGAGCTGGTTAGAGCTCAAAGGGCTAGTTAGAAACTATAGTCAGAGTTCAGGGTAACCCATAAGGAATGGCAAAGATTCCTTTGTGACCAGTAAGAGCAGGGAGATCTTAGCACCTTTGGGCCTGCAGGAGCAAAGGGAACAGTAGATATTGGAATCTGTAAAGAGATCACTAGCTTGTTTGTAGCTATGGGAGAGGGTCTCCAACCAGAGCTCTGGGCTTTAGTGTAGAAGCTTGGCCACTTTCCAGTAGGAAGGGAATCAGAAGAGAGAATAAATATATGAATCTCTTTCTCTCCTGACTCTGTGATCTTTTGCTAGTGCCAACCATTGACTAAACTCAAGTGGAAGCCAGAGGCCAGGGGAGCCAGGTGGATCTAGTCCGGTAAGTTCAGCCTGTAAAAGCCCAAATCTTGATAGAAAAGAATTGGATGGTTCTGGAAGGGCAAATAGAAAGCATCAAATACATTCATAATTTTATGCTATAGAAATGTTTTTCCATCCTATAAAAAGTAGTCATGAATTTTTGATAGACATTTAGAATGACTCTTGGCATGATTAACTTTAATGGAAAAGGTAAACTCAAAACATTGCTTTGATCTAGACTTTGGTATCTGTTATCATATTGTTGCAATGATAATATTTTTACTAGACCCCCTACTGACTGTATCACTGACTTATTTAAACCTTTTGAATAGATACATAGTGTGACCAGACCTCTATGTTCAGGGTCTATGTGTATGCATTTTTGGATTCCGTTTACTGTGTGTGAGACTGAAAACATTTGTATCTAAATTTATGAGAGATATTGGTGTGTAGTTTTCTTTTTTTTCACTACTTTTGTTTGTTTATAGTATCAGAACAATACTAGCCTCACCAAATTAGTTAGAAAGTGTTCCCTTTACTTCTATTTTCTGAAAGAGAGGTATAAAATTGACATTAGGCTGGGTGCAGAGGCTCCTGCTTGTAATCCCAGCACTTTGGGAGGCTGAGATGGGTGAATTACTTGAGGTCAGGAGTTTAAGAATAGCCTGGCCAATGTGGCAAAGCCCATCTCTACAAAAAAAGAAATACAAAAAATTAGCTGGGCATGGTGGCGCATGCCTGTAATCCCAGCTACTAGGGAGGCTGAGGCAGGAGAATACCTTGAGCCTGGGAGGCAGAGGTTGCAGTGAGCCAAGATCATGCCACTGCACTCCAGCCTGGGCAAAAGAATGAGACTGCCTCAGGAGGAAAAAAAAAAAAAAAAAAAAAGACATTAGTACTTCTTTAAATGTTTGGTAGAATTCTCCAGTAAAAGCATCTGGAACTGCATATTTTTTTTCCAGGAAATTTTGTATCGTAACTTCAATTTCATTAATGGTTAAAGGACTATTCAGATTATCTATTTCTTCTTGGAGTTGTAATTTGCAAGTTTTGAGGAACTGCTTTTTTTTTCTCATTTGTCTAACGTATGAGTATAAAATTGTTTGTCATATTTTCTTGATAACTTTTTAAATGGCAGTGAGATCTGTAGTGATATCCTGTTTCCTTCCTAAGATTGGTGACTTGTGTCTTCTCCGTTTTTGTTTTGTCAGTCTTGCTAAAGATTTGTGAATTTTATTGATTTTTTCGAAGAACCAGTTTTTCGTTTTAATTATTTTCTGTATTTTCCTATTTTCAAATTTATTGATCTCTACTCTTGTTTTTATTATTTTGTTTGTCCTTTTCAACTTTTATTGTAGATTCAGGAGGTAGATATGTAAGTTGGTTACCTGGGTATATTGCATGATTCTGAGGTTTGGGGTACGAATGATCCCATCATCTAAGTACTAAGAATAACACCCAAGAGTTAGTTATCCAGTCCTCGCCCTCCTCTGTTTTCCCCCTTCTAGTAGTCCCCAGTGTCTGTTGTTGCCATCTTTATCTCCATGAGTACTCAATATTTAGCTCCCTCTTACAAATGAGAACACACAGTATTTAGGTTTCTATTCCTGTGTTAATTTGCTTCATACAGTGGCCTCTAGCTGCATCCATGTTGCTTCAAAGAACATGATTTTGTTCTTTCTTCATGGCTCTATAGTATTCCATGGTGTATATGCACCACCTTTTCTTTATCCAATCCACTGTTGATGGGCACTTAGGTTGATTCCATGCCTCTGCTATTGTAAATAGTGCTGCAGTGAACACATGAGTGCATGTGTATTTTTGGTGGAACAATTTGTTTTCTTTTGGATATATATCCTGTAATTGGATTTCTAGGTCAAATGGTAGTTCCGTTTTGAGTTTTTTTGAGAAATCTCCAAACTACTTTCCACAGTGGCTGAACTAATTTACATTCCCCACAACACCGTATAAGTGTTCCCTTATCTCTGCAACCTTGCCATCATCTGTTGTTTTTCGGCTTTTCAGTAGTAGCCATTCTGGTGTGAGATAGTATCTCATTGTGGTTTTGATTTGCATTTCTCTGATGATTAGTGATGATGAGTCTGTTTTCATCTGTTTGTTGGCTACTTGTATGTCTTCTTTTAAGAAGTGTCTGTTCATGTCTTCTGCCCATTTTTAAAATGCAGTTGTTTGTTTTTTGCTTGTTAATTTGAACTTCTTATACATTCTGGATATTAGACCTTTGTCAGATGCATAATTTGCATATATTTTCTTCCATTCTGTAGGTCATCTGTTCACTCTGTTGATAGTTGTTTCTTTTTTCTTTTTCTTTTTTTTTTTTGCTGTGCAGAAGCTACTTAGTTTAATTGGGTCCCACTTGTGAATTGTTTGTTTTTGTTATAATTGCTTTTGATGACTTATAAATTCTTTCCCAAGGCCCATGTTCATAATTTTTGTAGTATTCTTATAGTTTGAGGACTGACATTCAAATCTTTAATCCATCTTGAGTTAATTTTTACATATGGTATATGTATATGTAAATTTTGTGTATGGTAAAAAGTAGGGGTCCAGTTTCATTCTTTTGCATATGGGTAGCCAGCTATCTCAGCACCATTTATTGAATAGAGACTCCTTTCCCCATTGCTTTTTAAAAATCAACTTTGTCAAAGACTAGGTGGCTGTAGGTGTGTGCCTTTATTTCTGGGTTCTGTATGCTCTTCCATTTGTCTGTGTGTCCATTTTTGTAGTAGTATTGTGCTGTTTTGGTTACTATAGCCTTATGGCAGGGATCCTCAACCTGTGGACAGGTATCCATCCATGGCCTATTAGGAATCAGGCTGCACAGCATAAGGTGAGCGGCAGGCAAGCATTATCACCTGAGCTCCACCTCCTGTCAAATCAGCAGGGGCATTAGATTCTTACAGGAGTGCAAACCCTATCGTGAACTGCACATGAGAGGAATCTAGGCTGCGCACTCCTTATGAGAATTCAACTAATGCCTGATGATCTGAGGTGGAACAGTATCATCCTGAAGTCATCCCCACCCACTTGTCTTCCACACAACCAGTCACTGGTGCCAAAAAGTTGGGGACCTGCTGCCTTATAGTATAGTTTGAAGTTAGGTAATGTGATGTCTCTAGCTTTGTTCTTTTTGCTTAGGATTGCTTTGGCTATTCTTTTTCTCTTCTCTTTCTAGTTTCTCATTTTTTTTTTCCAGTTTCTTGAGAAAGGAATTTTGATTATTGATTTCAGACCTTTCCTTGTTTCCATTTAGTGCTATGAATTTCCTTTTCAACACTGCTTTAGCTGCATTCCACAAATTTTGATATGTTGTGTTTTAATTTTTATTTAGCTTTATGCATTTTTTTAATTTCTTTTGAGAACTCCTTTTTGACCCATGGATTTTTTTCTTTTTTTTTTGAGACTGACTCTCACTCTGTTGTCCAGGCTGGCACCCACACCACACCTGACTAATTTTTGTATTTTTAGTAGAGACAGGGTTTCACCATGTTGGCCAGGCTGGCCTCGAACTCCTGACCTCAAGTGATCCACCCACCTCGGCCTCCCAAAGTGCTGGAATTACAGGCGTGAGCCGCCATTTAGAAGTATATTATTTAATTTACATATATTTAGATATTTTCTTGTTTTTATATTGTTGATTTCTGGTTTCCTTCTGTTATAGTCAGAGAACACACTACGTATAATTTCAGTACTTTTACATTTGTTGAGCTTTGTTCTATGGATCGGGATATGCTGTATCTTTGTGAATGCTCCATGGGCACTTGAAAAAAACATGTATTTTGCCGTTGTGTTCTGTACGTGTCATTTAGGCCCTGTTGTTTTGTTATTCAGACTCTCTATATTGTTGCTGATTTTCTGCCAAGTGGTTCTATCAGTTTCTGAGAGAGGGGTGTTGAAGACTATAATTGTGGATTTGTTTATTTCTCCTTTCAGCTCAGAGTTTTTTGCTTCATGTATTTGGAGGCTCTGTGGTTGGTGTGCACCTATTTAGGAAGATTATGTCTTCCTGATTCATTGACCTTTTTATCCTTATGTAATGTCCTATGTCTCTATCTCTGGTAAATTTCTTTGCTTTGATGTCTACTTTGTCAGATATTAATGTAGCTACTCCTTCTTTAAAACAAATGTTTGCATGGTATACCTTTTTTAAAATCCTTTTATTGTCAATCTACCTATGTTATTACATTTGTGGTGAGTTTCTGTGAAACAATATATAATTGTCTTGTATTTTTAAATTCACTCTGCTAATCTCTGTGTATTTAATTGGTTGATTTAATTGGTTTAATTGTGTTTTAATTAGATCATTTCTATTTCACATAACTAATGATATATGTTAATGCTTACGTCTTCCATTTTTATTATTTGTTTTCGGTTTGTTTTTCTGGTTCTTGTTTCCATGTTTCTCTTTTCTTTACTTCCTGGGTTACTTGAATTTTTTTTTTTTAGGATTCCATCTTGATTTATTTATAGTGCTTTTGAGTCTCTACCTTTGCACATTACAATATACACATATGCCTTTTCACAGCCTACTGATATCAACAATTTGCCACCTTTAGTGGAGTATGAAATCTTCATTTCCATTGAGAGCTCTTTCCCTTCCCCAGATTTAAATATAGTTATTGTATCATATGGTATTCTAATTTTTATTTCAATCATTAAACATGATTTATAAAACTCATGAAGAAACTTCATAGTCTATTATATGTACTCATATTTTGGCATTTTCTATTATTTTCTTTTCTCCTGATGTTCCAAGGTTCTTTGTTTTATCATCTCCTTTCTGTTCGAAGAATTTATTTGGACAATTTTAAGACTGGGATCTGCTAGCAACAAAGTCTTTTATTTTTTCCTTCATCCGAGAATGCTTTTATTTTTCCTTCATTCTTGAAGGAGAGTTTATGTATAGAATTTGTGATAGTTCTTCTCTTTGAGCATTTGTCACTTTCTTAGTGCCTCCATGGTTTTAGAAGAAAAATCTACTGACATTTGAATTTGCAT